TGAGCTGAGTTTAATGTATCCTAGGTTGACCTCAAACTCTTTGTATAGCTGAGGATGACTTTGAACTTCTGATCTTCCTTGCCTCACACCTCCTTAACATACTCTACTCCACATACTGTAGCTGGTCAGATGGTTCAGTGGTTAAGAACACTGGCTGTACCTGCAGAGGAGCTGGGTTTTAGTTCCCAGCAACTACATGATGTCTTCTAACCCTCTGTGAATTCAGTTCTGAGGATCTGGTGCCCTCTTCAGGCTTCCTTGGGCACTAGGTGTGCATATGATGTACATGTAGGCAAAAACTCATATACATAAAAACAAATCGATCCAGTCACCCAAAGTGGGATGGAAAAGTAGAGGTGGTAAGAAAATGTTCAAGTTTATAGTTTCAAAGTGGGGCACAGCTATGACACCTGGCACTTAGTTGGAGGCAGGAAGACTAATTTGAGGCTGACATAGGTTATACGAGAGAGTATGTCTAAAAACCAAGAAGAAACCCAAAACTTATTATTCTGAAATCATAGGGGCTGGGAATACATGAGTATATAGCTTGGTGGTACTAACCGTATGCTTAGCATGCTCCCAGCCCTGCCTGAGATCAATGCCAATGCCTAACATTAAAAAAGAATAAAAACTCATGTTTTATTAACCATAATTTTTCTAGTTGATTTGGCCACTGCTGGAAAGATACAAGAAAATAATGTGATCCCTGTGGCTATTCACTGAACCTCAACCTGAAATTCTCACCTTTGATAAGCAGCACCTTTGTGCTGCTGCTGCTGCTGCTGCTGCTGCTGAGATTGCTGTGGGTTTGTGTTTGCTTTCAGCAGTAATCCAGAGGGGCCCAGGCTTTGCTCATGCTGAATGGGCGCTCTACTACTGAGCTATATACCTCCAGGCCATTTCATTTCTTAAAAAGGGGGAATAGGTTTCAGATCTGCTACTTGGGAATGAATGACTTCCACTTATGTCACTATAGTGTGGAACAACTATGTTGCTTCAAGATACATAATCCTGACATGCATGATTTCTACCTGTCATTACACTCTTATCAATGTCTGTGATGTGTCCACAGTGAAGTGTGGAGCTCAAAGACAGTTCAGGATTAGCTGCCATCAGCTTTTAGGATTATGTAGAAATTAAAAATCATTCTAGGAGCTGGGTGCTGGTGGCCTTTAATCCCAGCACTCTGGAGGCAGAGGCAGGTGGATCTCTGTGAGCTCCAGGCCAGCCTGGTCTACAGAGCAAGTTCCAGGACAGTTAGAGCTGTTACATGGAGAAACCCTGTCTCAAAAAACCAAAAGTCACTATAGATTACTAAGTAATTAAAATAAGGGCATGGAGAAGGAACTATGGGAAAATGCAGAGTTTCTTTCATCTTCAGCATAGGGAAAGCCACAAAACAACTGTAATGTCATGGAAAGTGTCCTAAACTCACAGTAGACTATAATGCCACCTGATCTGTGTGCCTGACAGAAACATTTGAAAGAATGAGCATGACTTTTATAAAACTCAACTAAAGTTTATGCAACCTCAAATTTATTTAATTTTTTTGAAACAGGATCAAATGTAGTATGTACTACATATTAAAATCCACCCAGAGCGATGTGCTTTTAAGAACTAAGTGACCTGCATTTTGATTTCTCATTAGAGATAAAGAGCTTGTTTACTACCTTCCTTTCCTGGGCCACTGGACATGGGTGCTGGAATCCAAACCCCAGTCCTCATGGTTGAGCAGCAAGCCACCACTGAGCCCAGATTTCTTTTTGTTCTTGTTTTACTTCTCTTTGTAGTCCTGAACATCCTGGAACTTGCTCTTCAAACCAGATTGGCATCAAACTTACAGAGATCTGTCTGCTTCTGCCTCTGCCTCCTGAGTGCTAGGAGTAAAGGTGTGCACCACCACTGTCCCAAGCCCAGCTTTCTAAGGAGCCAGTTCATTTTGGCACCTAGAACTGCTGACAGCCACTTGGGGATGGAAGCAGACTGTTTGGATAGTTTAAATACACTGTACAACCAACAGCTTGAAGCAGTGAGAATAATAAATTATGATCAAGGTAGGTGTCCAACAAAGATACAAAAGAACAGAGAAAGTGCTGGAGTCTCTTCCCTGAACTCTTCAGAACTCTTTTAGCAGATGGGGTTTCCGATAGAAGTTGCATAGCAGTTTGGAAGATGATTTACATTAAAACACATGGGCAGATCCTTTGATGGATAGGAAACAAATCCACATGCATTTAAACTAAACAAGAAGTCTTCGAGTTTCTTACAAAACTTTTAAGAAATCAGTAATTTTCTCCACACAATTCTGTTCATCCGAATAACTCATAGTAAAAGCTTTTTTTTTGGGGGGGGGAGGTAATAGAATCATGTTCAGATATTACACAGCCTAATAATTTTTGGTGATAATAATTTCTTATTTTGAAAGAATAAATTTTGGTTTATCAGCTAAGTGCATTTATTCAGCCAAACAAAAGACAATGTTAGCTTTTTCTTGGCTGCAGAGATTCTCTACATATAAAAAAATAAATAATCCAGTCTCTCCTACCATGCAAATAATTTCCAGTAACAAACTGAGAATTCAGAGAAAAATAAAAATCAAAAAACCCCACCAGGTACTATCAGACTTACTCTAGTCTAAAAGTGCTAAATGTGGCTTCAAAATAGGCAGATGACATTTAAAATAACATTTCTCATTGCCTATACATGTCCTGATATTTAACCTAAAACTTTTACAAGTTGTGACTTTAGTCATAATTATCTAATAAATGCAGCATACAGCATACAGAAGCCAGCCCTTCCTTTTTTCCTTCCTTCCTTGGTTTTTTGAGACAGTTTCTCTGGCTGGCCTCAAACTCACAGAGATCCACCTGACTGTGGTGCCTCCCAAGTGCTGGGATTAAAGATGTTCACTACCACTGCCTGGCCACATGAACATTTCTTTATATAAAATATTTGATACCAATTTCTAGGCAAAGCTTGTTGATAACATCAGTTTCCTTTAGTCCTCTTTCTTGTGGGGCAGGAGACTTCTCATGCCCAGGGCTGGCCATCCAGGTATGGAATGCAAAGGTACCTAGAAAGTAGTCCATCTGAACTGGGTGCTCTGCAGTTTCCTTTCCACTCAAACCCAGGATCCCACAACATCCTCAACAATTTTCAAAAGAAAAAGACAATTTAGCTGATTCTATAAAAGAGGTGAATTATCAAAGATATCCAATTTTAGTTATGACTTGAAAATATTTTACCATCTTTTGGCATTTGAGTACAAAATTAATAATACAGGTACGTGTCAAGGTATCCCACACTCACAAAAAGCATTTCACTTGTGGTTTGAAAAATTGACACATTTAGTTGACTGAGTGCTTCTCAAACAAGCAGCTTCCGGCCCTTGCTCTCGGGCTGTTAATGACAAAGAAATTACCCATAGGCCTTCATTTTACATCATGACCCAAATGTCAGTATTAAAAACCCCATAGGCCATAGTCCTTAGACAAAACAGATGCACACCTTACCTGTCCCTAGTCATCACACTGCTTACAGCTCTGCTAAGGGATCAATGGCAAAAAGTCCTTTCACACCAGTATGGAAGACTTCAACTCTACTACTGAACCATGAGTCATCCATATCTCCTCGTAACAAGAGCACTCAAGCACTCCGCCTGAGGTTATCTGTTGTAATGTAGTTCTGCTTTCTGATCTTGGCTGGACCTTTAAAATACATCATTTGGTTTTGGTGCTCCAATACCTATTTGAAGGTGAGGTGGGAGGGGCATTCCTCCCTAGCCTTTGTATACTGTTAGTCTCACTGCAGAGAGCAGAGGGAGGCCTGATGCACAGACAGCAGAGGGCAGTGGGGTCACCACCTCTACTTGGGTATCTGCCAACAGTCAAGGCACCCAAACTACACAGCTCAGGTTCTGCATGAACAGCTGTGTTTTCTTTCCTTTTCTCCTCCTACCCCATTTGAAGCTTCATAACCCTGTGTGGATAGAAACCTAGAAAATGAGAGCTATTTCTAAACATTTTTTTTTTTTTTTTCAGACAGAATAGAAAACTCAAAGTCAATGTTTCTTTTTTTTTTTTTTTTTTTTTTTCAGATTTAGGGACTGTGCTAATCTGGACATTTTATGTAGAAAGACTATTTCAAATGTTTCTACATACATCTATTTCCTTCCAAACCAGGAAAAGCAAGCTGAGTATGATTTTCCAGGCCACAAAACCAGAAAGCACCCTGATGCAGTCATGATGACACTTGGCCATACTGAACAAAAGCAGATGACTGTCATGGTCTGTCTTATCCCTTGCCCACTCAGGGTGTGTTGGGAAGCCAATGTTAAAGTGTGAGCTGAAGGCAATTCATCCTTACTACTCTGGAGCCATAAAAGTCCAATGCTAGGATCTTTCCTGGACTCACAGTGCCCTGTGCACTTGACATAGCATCTGTGCTACAAAACTAACAAATGATCCACAAAGTCACTACTGAAAGATGCCACTAAAGAACCAACCTCCAGGATGACTCCTTAAAGCTATGGTATCCCTAGAATGGCAGTGAGATCCAGTCATCTAAACAGTCACTCATAAAGCTCCAATGACCCTGACACCAAAGGCACATTTGGTAAGCAATAAGAAATGGCTTAGCTTAAAATGAGGATCTTTCTTTCCAAATAAACCTTAGACCGTCCCTGGCTCCTACCAAATATAAACTCAATAAAAAAACTAAAGGAAGCAAAGCTCCCTTTTAAGAGCAGCGGTTTCCAACTTGCTTTTCCAGTGGGCCAACCACAAAGAGGGGGAGTGAAGGCAAAGGCAACCAGAGAGTGGCAGAGGTATGGGGAAGGGTGAGGTCGGCGAGAGCCAGAGAGCATGAAAGAACCCTCTGGGGAAGAACAGGTAAAGAGAGTAACACTGCGCGCAATCCACCTATGTAGGATGCCTGCAGGAGGGGTTGCTGCACACTAGCATCTGGGGAGGACAGTTATCCTAGTAAAAACACAAGGCTAACAAATCCTACAGGAAGAAAAAGAGAACTTCTTTTGGCTATTTGTTTATATCCAAAGAGAAACCGAAAGAGCTAGCTTTCATCATGGGAAATAAACATAATTGGAGATCACATTATAAAATAAGACTATAAATCACAACTTCAATTTGGAGCTCACTATAGTTCTAGAATTTCTGACCAAGGTTGTGTGGGTAAGGTCAGCCCATCTTGAAACCCTGTTGGTTCAGCAGCAATCTGCAGGTCCTTGGGAAGGCACTATGATGGAGGAGAGCAAGGGTTTCTTTTTGTGCTTCTTGTTGTTGTTGCTTTTTTAAAATTTTCATGTTTTTGAGGTGTAAATACTTTTTGTGACAGTCAAAGCTCTCTCTTGACTCTTGCTGCTCATACAAGCAGTCCCATTCGAGTAACTTTGGCAGATAAGAATGTGTGCAACACAAATACAATCGGCTTTGGACAAGAATGCAGGTCCACAGTCTGTGGAGAAAGGACATGAATTATTACTATAATATACACACACTTCAATAAACAAAGGCATTAAGTAAATTTAGGTATGATGTCCCACTTTGAGTGCTGGGATTAAAGGTGTATGCCACCACCACCCAGCTACATCTAGCTTTTTTAATGTAGATTTTTTTTGGGGATTGAATTCAGGTACTCATACATGTGGAGCAAACACATAACTCTCTCTTCAGTTCTCACATAAAACTTTAAAAAAAGAGAATGTTTTTCTAATATGGGGAAAACAAACAAAAAATCAACCGTGCCAGGTGGTGGCGCTGCATGCCATTCAGGAGGTAGAGGCAGGTGGATTTCAAGTTTGAGGTCAGTCAGGTCTAGAGATTGAGTTTCAGGACAGCCAGAACTATGCAGAGAAATCCTGTCTTGAAAACAAACAAACTAGAAAGAAAATGAATCCAGCCCCAGTGCCATCCTGAAAACAAATGAACAATGTACTAACTCTCTAAAGGAATGCCAAATGTTAGGCCATAGGAATTGAGAAGCAGAGAGAGGGTTGGAGATGTAGCTCAGTCCCCAGCAACATCCAGCAACATAAAGGAAAGCAAGCAAGCAAGCAAATGAACGAACAGAAGCAATGTGAAAGACAGAGACAACTAAGACAGACTCATGTCATGCAGGGTGCCATCCAACAGACAGTTCATGGTTTTCAAAAACATTCTCACCAGTTCTCCCTCAGGACCACCAAAATCTAGATAGAGATTTCTGATTCCATCATCAGCAGACATCTTCAGCCGTTCAAAAGGATAACGGTACAATATGCTGCTCGAGCCTCCATTGTCTCTGGAGATAGTGAACCCATGGTCATAGTGGATGGTGAATCTTACCTCTTGGCCACTTAAGGTACAGCCTATTGAAGACAAGAAAAGTCATATAATAAAAATCCTATTTTAGTTATCAAGTAGAAAAGAAGTCTTCTGGTTTCAAACATGAAAAACAATCTTTTCTTGAGAATTTGAGGCCCAAGCTACATAAAATATCCTAAAATAAAATTTTAAAAGATTTATTATTCTACAGTTTGACAGTACAAATACTAAAATTGGAATGATACAGGGAAGATTAGCATGACACTGTGCAAGGATGACATGCAAATTCATGAAGCAGTACGTATTTTTTAAAGAGGCCTATTATTTTTATTTGGAGACAGGTTCAATGTACCCCAGTCTGGTCTGTAATTATGTACCCCTCCTTATCTTCCTGCTTGTGTATCTTGAGTGTTAGAACTATAAATGTGGGCTAAAGCCAGGCTGAGTTTTCTTTCTTTTTGAGACAGATCTTCCTTATATAGCCCTGGATAGCCTGGAACTTGATATGTAGACCAGGCTGACCTCGAACTCATAAAGATCTACTTGCTTCTACCTTTGGAAAGCAGGATTAAAGGCATATGCTGCCACCACATCTGGAATTAAGTATAATTTAACTATATGTGTATATATCTGTGTGGTTGTGTGGCATGTGAATGCAAGGGTCCAAAGAGATCTAAGTCCCCTTGGAGCTTGAGTTGCAGTTGATTATGAGTTATCTGTCATGGGTACTGGGAATTGAAAATGGGTCCTTTGCAAGAGCAGTACATGCTCTGAACTACTGGGTCCAGTCTCCTGCCCCCTAAAACTACTTTTGCTCAAGCCAGCATCTTGATTGAGATGAGATAGGATATAGTCTAACTCTTCTTGACCTCTGTCTGACTCAGTTCAACTGTATGTAAACTTTGTGTAGTGAGGGGAAGATAAAAGGGAATCCTCTGCTCTCAGACTTTACAAATCACTAATTGTACAAGGTACAATTGTGTACACTGTATAACACACAATTACACTTGAAACTAAGCTAAGGCTGAAGTCAAGAAAAGGTTTCTAGGATGGGAATTCAGATAGGCCCTAAAGAAAAGATAAAACTAGCTAGATGGTGGTGGTGCATGCCTTTAATACCGCACTCTGAAGATAGAAGCAGGTGGATCTCTGAGTTCCAGGCCAGAGACATCTACAAAGTGAGTTCTAAGACAGCCAGAACTGTTCCCCAGAGAAGCCCTGTCTTGAAAAACCAGCCAGCCAGCCAGCCAGCCAACCAACCAACCAACCAACCAACCAACCAAAAAAGATCAAACTAAACAGACAGGGAGATGTGGAGAGAAGTGTTCAAGTGGGCAAGAAGGAAGGGCAAAGGCAGAAAGATGTCCTTCAGAGTTATAACATGCTCTGGTTGGTATCTGGGAAGGAGATAAATGAGGTCTTAGGTTTAATCCCTAGTGCCAGAGAACAGAAAACAAATACTGCCAGTCCCACCCTCCAAAACAAAGGTGGGCTGCAAGATGACTCAGCAGGTAAATGGTGCTTGCCAGCAAGCCTGTCCCATCCCCAGATCCATTTGGTGGGAGATGACAGACTCACAAATTGTCCTCTGACTTCTATATACAACACATGCATGTACTCTCACAGGCTAATGTAATTTAAAAAAAAAATTAAAGCTCAACCAAACTAAGATACATCAGAATTGACAAAAACACAGAAACTCTGATAGCTGGGCATGGGGACACATGCCTACAATCTCAGCACTTAGTTAAATAGCTGAGACTGCAGAATCAGCAATCTGAGTCTAGCCTGGGCTACAGAGTGATGCCTGGAGATTATGGCAGAGCTATTGCTTTTCCATTTTAACAAGAAAGGCTCTTGAAGCAGGTCATCACATATAACCAACATATTCTCTCACTGGAAATGCAAAAACTCCTACTAGTTAATGTAGCTGTATGTTTGGGAAACTGGCAAAAAGAAAAACAGATAAATATTGGTAGTAGCCTTCTCTGCACTATTTGAAGTGAGCTTTGAACAACTAACTCGTAGTTATCCTCAGAGGCAGAGGAGGGACCTAGTGGGTAAAGAGTAAGCATGGGTGCATCAGCTTCCTGCAGTAGTCCATGCACTCTACTCTCTCTAAATGAGCAGCTGAGGGAGACGTGCGGGTGACAGCTTGCCCTGACAAAGCACCCAGATCACTGTCCTAACATCTCTAAAGCCAGTGTGCAGTGAAGAGATGGAGTTTAAAGGGGGAGAAAAATTCAAAGATGGCTGGAGAAGGTGCCAAGCAGGCAGTGGAGTAACTGGCAGTGTGTGAAGGTCAGATAGTCACAGCCAGGAAAGGAAAGTCATCAATCCAACTATGGGCTCGTGTGAAATTCCTCTCACATGGCAGGCAAGCACTGAGCTACATTCCAAGGCCCTGAGATTTCTCACATGTTCTATTTGGAACTGTGTTGCCTCAAGAGGGAAGGAAAGCAAAGCAAATGTAAGAAGAGGTACTTTGAAAAACAGAATCCCCCCACCCCAGCCACCTGCCCCAAGATAGGATTTCTCTGTGAAGCACTGGCTGTCCTGGAACTTATTTGTAGACCAGGCTGGCCTTGAACTCAGGGATCTAACTACCTTTGTCTCCAGATAGGCTGAGCCACTACAGCCTGGCTGAAAAAAAGAATCTTGTTTATGGTGGAGCAGGGAAGATCATACTGAATATGTTTAGCTCTAGATACTGAGCATGTGTTTTGTGGTATCACACACACACACACACACACACACACACACACACACACTTGAGCTACAGTGGGCATGTGCAAGTCACAGGACAAGTTTGGAGTTGGTTCCCTTACTCTATCAAGTGGATATCGTTATTGCATTCAGGCTATCAGGGATTCTCACACACACTGAGCCATCACACACTAGCCCTATATTATTTTATATTTTGTTTCATTTGTTTTTATTTTATGTGGATAACTGCTTTGTCTGCATTTATGTCTGTATACCATGTATAAGCCTGGTGCCCAGAAAGTGTCATTGGATCCCTTGGGACTGGGATTACAGATAGTTGTAAGACTCCTTGTGCATACTGGAAATCAAACTTATGACTTCTGAAAGAGCAGCCAGTGCTCTTAAACACTGAGCCATCTCTCCAGCCCCTTATTTTATTTTACTCTAGAGCCAGTCTTTGTGTAGCTCAGGCTAGTCTGTATAGCCGAGAATGACCTTGGACTTCAGATTCTCCCATGTCTACCTCTCAAATGCTGTGTCCTCTATAATTTCAGCTTCTAATTTGACACAGTCTAGTATCATCTGTGGGAATCTTAATCAAGGGACTGCCCAGATCAGGCTGGCCTGTGACCATGTCTGTGAAGAACATGATTAATGATTGATGTGGGAGGATTTAGGCTGAGTATGACCTAGGAGCAAGCCAGCAAACTTCTATAGTTTTCGCCTCGAGTTCCTGTCCTGACTTCTCTCAGTGATGGATTGTGACATGGAATTATAAGGCAAATAAGTTCTTTCTTCCCCAAAGTAGCTTTGTAGCTTTTGGTCACAGTGTTTTATTTTATTAAAGCCACAGACAGGAAACTAGAACATGCTGGAATTACAGTAATACACCATCATATCTGGCCTATGTGATGCTGGGGATTAAGCCCAGGTCCTTATGCATAGTAGGCAAACATTCTGTCTTCAAGAGCAACACTGTCAGCTGGGTGTTAGTGGTGCATGCCTTTAATCCCAGCACTTAGGAGGTAGAGGCAGGCAGATCTCTGAGTCTGATGCCAGCCAGATCTACGAAACAAATGGTAGGCAGGGTAGCCAGAGAAACCCTGTCTCCAAAAAAAAAAAAAAAAAAAAAAAAAAAAAAGAACTGTGATTGGAAAAGAAACCCTTTGTCCTTTAGGCTCTTAGGCTCCAGCAGACACATACCTCTTCATGTATTTCTAGTATTTGGTTTAAGAGGGTGTGGTGGTACATGCCTATAATCCTGGTGCTTAGGAAGCTGAGGGAGAAGGATCAGGAGTACACTACCATCCTGGATACATAGGAAGTTTGAGATCAGCCTGACTTTAGAACAATATATCTCAAAAAACAAAATGAAAAACATTTTAGTTTAAATTGAAAGAAAAAGACATTGCAGGGCCAGGCTTGACACAAGTATTCAGTGAGGAAAGATCCTTAATTGAGAGAATGTCTTTATAAAATCAAGGCTAAGCAAGCCTGCAGGGCACTTTCTTAGTAATTGATGGGGGAGGGCCCAGCCCATTGTGGGTGGTGCCATCTCTGGGTTGGTGATCCTGGGTTCTACAAGAGAGTAAGTTGAGCAAGCCAGTAAGCAACATCTCTCCTTGGCCTCTGCATCAACTCCTGCTCCATCCAGGTTCCTGCCCACTGATTTCAATGATGAACTGTTCCATAGAACTGTGAGTGAAATGCTTTGGATCATGTTCTACCACAGCAATAGAAACACTAAGACAGGGATTATTTGGGAGAGAGAAGAGGAAGAGTATGGGAACAAATGAGTGTAATGGGGGATGAATATGAATAAAGCATAATGATATGCATGTATGAAAATGTTATGATGAGTATTTGGGGAGGTGACTCAGCAGTTAAGAGCACTGGCTGTTCTTGTTTTGATCCCAACATCCACTTGGCAGTTCACAACTGTCTGTGACTCCAGTTCCAGTTGATCCAATACCCAATTCTGGCTTCTATGGGCATTGCACACATGTAGTTCACATACTCACACGTAGGCAAAACACTCACATATAAAATAATAAAATGCTGTAATGAAATTTAAACATTTAATGTAGTCTTGGTGGACACTGTTAACTTCAGTATAATCCATGCCAGCAGGTATTATCACCATTCCTCTCCCTGACACTCTTTAGGTCCATGACACTCACCATCTGCACAAAGCTAGTTTTCTTTCCATTGATCTGGTTACTGTGTCTTAAACTCACGAAGGGACATTGGCTTTTTCACATCATATGGGGAATTACTGAATAGAAAAGCCTTTTAAAAGTAACTTTTTTTCTTTTTTTTCTGTGTAATAGCCCTGGATGTCTTGGAACTTGCTCTGTAGACCAGACTGGCCTCAAACTCAGAGATCTGCCTCAGACTAAAGGGTGTGCCACCACTGCCCACCTTAAAGGTAACTTCTTAAGAAGCCCCTAATATTAACATCTTTAGTAAAGCCAGGAGGAGAAGAGATTTATTCACTAAGGGGTCAATCATTGTTATACTGAAATGAATGTAACCATGTTACCTATTCTGTACCTTTACATGTATGTGTGGGTACATGCACAAGTACACATATGTAGATGACAGAGGACAAACCTTGGGAATTGTTCCTCCCTGGTTGCTATCTGTCTTAATTTTTAGAAAGGTTATCTTGTTGGTCTAGCCACTGAGTCCCAGGGATTCTTCTTTACCTTTCTGGGTCTGGAACTACATACATGAGCCAGCATAGCTGTATTTAGAGGTAGACATGGGTTCTGGGGAGGAAGGGACAGACAGATGAACAGATGGATGGACAGACACTGACCCAGGCTCTTTTGAGAATTGCAGGGCAACTTTGGAGGGAGAAGGTCCCTAGAACTATGCCAGAAAAAAGCTGGGGTAGAATTCCTGCTTAATAGAGTAAGAAAATCCATCCTATCAAGGCTAACCAACAAGCTAATTGCAGAGGTAATAGGACACTGCACTCTTCTCACAGCTCTTGGTCAGGGATAGGAAATAAGTCTTATTTACTTTTATCTCTCACAAAGCTTAGCTCTTGGTAAACACTAAAGTACACAGCAAATATCTGCTGATTTAATGAATGAAGGGGATTGATATTGTACATCCTTCCAGCGTTTAACCCAGCCACGAGTATGAGTCATTGGAATAGAGAAGGAGGGAATAGAGAAGGAGAGAAGCATAAATCGCTGGTTCCGTATAAGTGCTGCAACCCAAATCCCAGGCACATCAACCCTAGTTTTTGTGAAACTGAAAGGCAAACTGAAATACCTGTATGCTCACAGAGTGCACATGCAACAGCACCAAGTTCATAGGGACTAGCCACCAGGGCGCACTGCCGCAGTGGAACACAACCACCAGCAGAGACTAGCCACTAGAGGGAGCTTCCACAGCAGAAACATGGCAATCAGCTCCTAGAAGTACTAAGCATTTTTTGAACAGGATATTATCAAACCTTTGAAGAGAAACTCCTATTCCAAACATGTAGCTACAGTATTGCCAGATGCTTGAATTTAAGGTGTCTAGTCATACCTTAGATGCCAAATCTTAACTATAGTCAGCGCATCTAATTTTTAACTGCCTGGGTTCCTTTACTATTAAATGTAGATTAAAATGATGAACACTAAAAAAGTAGTAGGGTGCATAATGCCATGTGGCAAGCATGGTAAAGCTTTGCCAGTGAGACAAATACCAGATTTCTTTCCACCATAAACACTTCAGATGCCATATTTTAACAGTTTATGGACCACACACAAAAAAAGTGGTTTTTACTTTAACGCCGAACAGTTTCACTTAGTTAATGTTAGAAGGCAGGTGAGATAGTTCAGCTTTTATTATTTTTTTTCAATTTATTTAACTTTATTTTATGTGCACCAGTGTGAAAGTATCAGATCCCCTGGAACTGGAGTTACAGACAGTTCTAAGCTGCCATGTAGGTGCTGGGGACTGAACCCAAGTCCTCTGGAAGAGCAGCCAGTGCTCTTAACCACTGAGACATCTCTCCAGCCCAGATGGCTCAGCTTTTAGAGGCACATACCTCAATTTTCTAAAGGACTTACTCCAGTTTGGTTCCTACCACCCACAAAAGCAAATCCTGTCTCTTCAGCTGCCCTTTTTTTGGTCTCCAGGGGCACCTGCACACACATGGCACATACACACAAACATATGCCTACACACATCAATAAAAATAAATCCTGGAAAACACTATGATTGCTGTTAGAAATCCAGGGCCAGGGCCTGGAATGACAGTATATGCACACCTGTAACTCCAGCACTGGGCAAACAGAGCAGGAGGATCAGGAGTCCAAGGTTATCCTCTCATCCTTGCTACAGACTGAGTTGCAGGCAAGGATAGGCTGTGTGAGACCCTGCCACAAACAAACAAACAAACAAACAAACAAACAGAAGTAACTCTACCTAGCGAGAGTTCCTTGACCAGCTCAGCAGCAGCATGACAACCCTGAACAAGTATTCTGGTCCAGGTCGACAAATCCCGGTGTGTTTCAACCCTGAAGAGATGCATCTCAATGCCCTGCCGAGAGCCCGTCCTTGTAGCAAATGTAAGGTCAGATCCAAGGGAGGGTGACCGACATCCAGAACCCGAATGAACCAACCTAGGGCCACAAATAGAACAGAGCGCTAAAGTAATTACTGCATTACTGGAAGAAAATGCCAGGAATTTGTTGATAAACAGAAATTTATAAAAAAAAACCTTCAGCAGTTTTCAGATGAATGCATTTCAAAACCAGATTGTGGTATTTAAGTAGATACTATTCTTTAATCTCACAAAATAATCCTTGGTGTCACAGGAAGCAGGGTACTACTTACACTCTACCAACAGAAAAGAGATACAGAAAATTCTGCCAGGGGCTGGAAAGATGACTCAGATTAAAAGCATTTGCTGCTCTTTCAAAGGACCTGGGTTTGATATATGGCAATTCACAACCATCTCCAATACCCTCTCCTGTCTTCACAGGCACCAGGTTCACACATGGTGCATGGACATACATGCAGGCAAAACATCCATATACAGAAAAACAAAGCCCAAAGAACAAGAAAAAGGAAGAGAGAGAGAGAGGAGGGAGGGAGGAAAGGAGAGAGGAAGGAAGGAAGGAAAAAAGAAAACTCATCCAAATGTAATGGTGCATGCCTATAATCCCAACACTTAAGCAGTTGAGGCAGGAGAATTTTAAGTTTTAAAACAGCCTGGGGTACAGACATGACCTTCTCTTAAAATGAAGCAAAATACTGAACAAAAATTCAACCATGGCATATTCCACTCAGTGGACTAGAAAATAAAGTCCTATGATCATCTACTACATAGAACTTAGAGAATTTTATGTTAAAAGAGTAAGTCAAAATTCCAACTTGCACATGGTTCTACTTATATGCAGCACCCAAACATAATTCAGAATTATAATTTTTCTTGAAAACCAGAATTTTATCAGGGCAATAATTAGCACCAATACTTTTCTTGAGACAGGGTCTCTTACTGAGTCTGGAGTGAGCCTGATGGCCAGAAAGTCTAGCAATCCTCCTGTCTCAGTTCCCACAGCACTGGGGAACAGACACATGTGTGGGATGCCTGGCTTTCTACCTAGGCACTGGAACCAGAATTCATGCTTGAAACAAGCACTCATCATCCAAGGAACAATCTTTCTACCCACAACCTGAGTTTTTACTACTTCAATAAAGGCATTTTAAACTCCTTGCCCCCAAAGGCCATTTAGGGAACACAATGGCTACTGATACAGATGCGTTCTGTGCATGTGACAGGTTGCCAGTTGCCCTGAAACATGTAAAATATCAGCACTTTAACTTACCCCAGGGCAACTGTTAGCACATGAAAACCACAAGTAACATTTTATGATTACACAGAATTACTATGAGATACCTTTGAACTTACAGACTTGCCCTATGGAGTTACCTGAGAACTGTGTTACTCAACTGATTACTGTGGCACTCACATGAGCTAGCTCAGAAAGAGTTAAGTTTTAAAATTACTCTACATATGATCCAAGTAAGATGGAGTATGGAGGAAAGTAACTGCATTATTCTATTTGATTGCTAATCCCATGTCTAGGAGGATATTTCTTTCCTAGATTTGATTTTGAAATGTTTGGCAGAGGGGATCCAATTCAAACCAGCTGCTGGACTTGGGGAGCAGCCACTGGTTAGGAAACACTACCAAGTTGCCCCCAACTTTTGCTGGGGGGGTGCCAAATAAGCTCATGAAAAGTTGAGCGTAGTAGTCTGGGCCATATTAGTCCCACATGCTCAGTACCATTCAGTTGTCCACATGGTTCAGCAAGTCACGTTATCCTTGGGTTCTGTCTCTCCCAGTCAAAGAGAAGTCTTATATTATAGGAAAATACTGCAAGATCCACAGCACCTAGGACATCAAGTCTTTTTGCTTGTGTTGTATACCTAGCATTGATCTTAAGAAAGACCAAAAATAAAAATTCCCTTCAACACCTCCAGGCATTACTTAATCCTCATTGCCAAAATTGTCATGTATTGATAGAAAACACACATACACACACGCACACGCACACACGCTCACTTGAACACATGCATGCATAAAGTTTGATTTCTAAGAATCTAAGTGTAAGTCAGGCATAGTGTTGCACATCTTTAATCCCAGCACTCGGGAGGCAGGGACAGGTGGATCGCTATGAGTTCAAAGCCAGCCTAGTCTACTAGTTCCAAGACAGGCTCCAAAACTACAGAGAAACCCTGTCTCGAGCAACCACAAACAAACACCCCCTAAAAAACATTAACAACAAAAAACTAAATGTGTACATAATCCAACATAAACTGTAGCTGTTACTTTACACAAATCTAACAATATTACTTGATCTTGAAGTTTAAAGCATTAATCAATTCTTTTTCTTTTTTGGAGGGTGGGGGGTAGTAAGACAGGGTTTCTTTGTGTAACAGACCTGTCCTGGAACTCACTCTGTAGACCAGGCTGACCTTGAATTCACAGAGATCCACCTATTTCTTCCTCCCAAGTGCTGGAATTAAAGGCGTGCGCCACTACTGCCCGTCCATAATTAATTCTTAATTTATCAGGGATTACTTAGTTTTGTGGACAATCAAGAAATCAAGATCTTTCTTTTCTTTTTCTGTATGTTTCTACTATCTTTTTCCCTGTGTATTCACTTGAACCTGGAGCTCACTGATTCCACTAGGCTGGCAGGTAGAGAGCTCCAGGGATCCACCTGTGTACCTGCCTCTGCCTCCCCAGGATTGGGATTACATCTATACTTTTTTTTTTTTTTTTTTTTTTTGCAGGGCTTCTTAGGCAGCTACTCTTGGCTTCGTTTTCTTGATGCTATTTGAAGCACAAACACTAACTCTTACTCCCTTTTCTCATGTGACACATTTTCTTTTCTTCCTTTTTCACACAGGGTCTCAAGTAGCCCAGACCAATCCTGAACTCCTGGTTTTACTGCCTCCACCTCTCAAGTGCCAGGATTATAAGTATGTGCCACCATGTTTGACTTTGTATTTGTTTTTGCTGCCACAGCTAACTAAGATGGCTCTGGGTAGACCTACTCTTTACATACACAACTGCCCCATTTTCTTTACTACTAAAGTCCTTTGATGAGTGACATCCAATGAATAGAAATTGCTTGTTTATGAAGTGACTGTAAATTTCAGCATTATGGAATGAAGGTTTATTTAGTGCTCTAAATCTTTGAAACACAACCTAATTGGTCCAACCGTAACTGTGGAAACACCCTTGTTTTTGTAGGGTTCCTGTCTGGTTCTCAGTACAAGTGAGACAGAGTAAGTGACAGCATAGTGGGACGTTCTTAGATGACATCAAACTTTTTTGATGTCAAGGTAGCTTTACTTGAGTGAGGGCATGGAAACTGACACTTAGAACTGTGTCTTTTACGAGGTGCTTCTTGTAAAGAAAGAATTAAGGAGAGCACACCTCCCTAGTTCTCAAGTTCAGGAGATACTTTAACTCTGTTCTGTAATTGAAAGAAACTCAGGAAAGCTGTATGACAGCTTTTAATTTTATTTTTTTAAAGAAATATAATCTTTAACCTTCAATTTAAATGAAAGTGACAGACTTTTTAAATTTATTTATTTATTATGTATACAACATTGTGCCTCCATGTCTGCCTGCAGGCCAGAAGAGGGCACCAGATCTCATTATAGATTGTTGTGAGCCACCATGTGGTTGCTGGGAATTGAACTCAGGACCTCTGGAAGAGCAGGCAGTTCTCTTGACTTCTGAGCCATCTCTCCAGCTCCCTGTATGACAATTTTAAATTTTATTTTCATGAAAACAATGATACCAAGCTGCACATGGAGGAACATACCTTTACATCTAGTTCTTGGAAGGTAGAGGTAGGTGGATCTCTCTGGGTTCATGGCTACCAGATTAGATATTAAGTTTTAGACTAGCTAGGCCTACATAGTGAGTGAAACGCTGTCACAAAAGCAAACTTTTTGTTGCTGCTGTTGTTCAAAACAGGAAACATCCAGCGTTCTCTATCCAATGTTCTCTATGCAACACTCTATCCAGCATTCTCTCTCTATCCAGGTTTCTCTCTCTACCCAGCATTCTCTCTCTATCCAGTGTTCTCTCTCTATCCAGCGTTCTCTCTCTACCCAGCGTCCTCTCTCTACCCAGCGTTCTCTCTCTATCCAGCGTTCTCTATCTAGCGTTCTCTCTATCCAGCATTCTCTACCCAGCGTTCTCTCACTATCCAGCGTCCTCTCTCTATCCAGCATCCTCTCTCTATCCAGCGTCCTCTCTCTACCCAGCGTGCTCTCTCTACCCAGCGTTCTCTCTATCCAGCGTCCTCTCTCTATCCAGCGTTCTCTATCTAGCGTTCTCTCTATCCAGCATTCTCTACCCAGCGTTCTCTCACTATCCAGCGTCCTCTCTCTATCCAGCATCCTCTCTCTATCCAGCGTCCTCTCGCTACCCAGCGTCCTCTCTTTACCCAGCGTCCTCTCGCTACCCAGCGTTCTCTCACTATACTGAGTTCTCTATGGGGCACAGCACTGGTTCCAGAGCTTCTGTCTTTCATTATCAACTACTCTTCTGAGCAGCTCCCTTGTTTAATGAAACCACTAGATTATCTCCCACTCCTTCCTTCCATCAAGGCAAATGGCAGTTAAAATAAAACATCACCAAGAGGCAGCTTCGGCTCAGGAGAGAGCACTGTGACTTCTCAAGGATTCTGGTTTATTGCCTTTGAATAATTTCTAAAAGCAGTCTTGTGGGGCTTTCCAGATATACCAACACCTTTAGAATCCAAGTAAAGCTGGATCTGAAGGTGCTTCTAGTTGTAGTTATTATCTCTTAAGACAGCCTAAGTTTGGTGGGTGGTGATGGCCATGCCTTTAATCCCAGTACTAGGGAGGCAGAGCCAGGTGGATCTCTGTGAGTTCAAGGCCAGCTTCTGTGAGTGAGTTTCAGGACAACCTCTAAAGCTACGGAGAAACCTGTCTCGAAAAACAAAAACAAAACAAAACAACAACAACAACAACAAAAAGACAGCCCGTTTATATTTCTCAATCCCACCCAACTGCACATATCTGTGACACAGGGAACATTCGGTGGCTTCAGGACAAAACTGTGCTTATTGCTATGTGCTCTTTAGTAGCAAAGAGCACTGAAAGACATTTTGGCTAAGTTGAATGCTTTATCCACTGCACCACAGTCTGGTTTAAATGATTTCATCACCTACTCAAAAGGCTGCTACAATTTCAGTGGTTTTCTAGTCACAGTCAATAATAAAGAAAAACCAAACCACTCCAAACCCCTATTATCTTCATGACCAAGCAAGTTTTAAAAGGAACAGCCACTCCCTCAATAATTTAAACAACACACACACACACACACACACACACACAAAACCACAAGTGACTGAAGCAATTTATTCTGTAAGAGTTAGGAGCTACAAAATGATAAGTGGGGGGGGGGGAGAGATACTTTTCTCTATGTTAGCTTCTTAAATGCTATTTTAGGTACCAAAGGTAGTATAAATCACTTTACAGCAGATTTAAGAGCATTTCCCCCCTTTCATCTTACCTTGTGGCAACAAGAGGGTAGCTATGACATGGCGATGCCCAGGCATCTCTTGTCCATGGCATACAATCATAAAGCAGCAAATCCTTCTCGGTCACAGCCATAAGAACAGGCCTCCATTGCTGTCTTCCACCATCTAGTTTTGCCTGTTACAATGGTGAGATCCAGAATCAGAGCTAACTGTGATATGATAATAATGAGCTTTGTGTGAGCACTGGTCTAACACTGGGGGGAGAAGGAGTCTTTGTTTTGCTCTCCCACCCTAGTGGACTTGAGATACACAATCATCCCCACAAGGTTACTTCCACAGGTGGGTATTCCCTACTGGGAAGCGTGAAGTGGGGGGTGTATTTGAAAAGCTAACAAGTCACAGGCATTATCTAGTGACATTACAATTTTATCCCATTTCTTAAAAACAGCATCAGCAGGGCTGTGATGGCACAGGCCTTTAATCCCAGCACTTGGGAAGCAGAGGCAGATGGATCTCTGTGAGTTCTAGGCCAGCCCATCTACCGAGCAAATTCCAGGACAGTCTCCAAGGCTATGGAGAGAAAACCTGTCTTGAATACTTACCATATAAGCCTAACAACCTGAGTTTGATCTCTGGAGTTCACAGTGGATGGAAAAAAAACTGACTCCCCAAAATTTTCTTCTAACCCCTCCATGCCTGCACAGGGGAATGCACAAGCCTGTACTCATGCACACACAGATACAGACACAGACACACACATACACCCAACAAATGCACACACAATAATAACTATAAAAAATGTTGATCAGATGCAATTTGTCTTTCTTATACTCTGATTTAAACAGGGGCCTCACTGTAGGCAATGTAGGCACTGGTCCCCAGTGCCACACTGTTATTTTGGAAAACACAGATGCAAGGATTCTTCATTTTATTTAGGAAGTACATGTTTTGGCTTCAAATATACATATTTTTATCTCATAAAGCTCAGTTATCTAGAAAGTTTAAAAATCTAGGAAAACAAACACCTGCTACTACTTATTCATATGTCAAGGATCCAGGGTCAAAATGGAAAAGACTATGTTCAAGAAAAGCCCTGTCACGTCAAAGCCCCTGTCCTCCACAATAAGACTGCTGAAGGACACTGTATTTTATCCCTGCCCTCCAAGTCATCCCTGACTGCCTCCAGGAGAACTCAAAGTTGGTGAGTCATTTGTCTCTTCAATAGCTGTCTTCGTAATCACTTTTTATTTCTTTTCTTTGAGACCTCTGAAGGGGGCTGAAGAGATGGCTCAGTGGTTAAGAGCACTGGCCGCTCTTCCAGAGGTCCTGAGTTTGACTATAGCAACTCACAACCATCTTGTAACTCAGTTCCAGTGGATCCAAACCACCCTCTTCTGACCTTTGTTGGCACCAGTCTTTCATGTGGTAAGGATATACAAGTAGGCAAAACATCCAAACACATTAAAACAAACAAAAACCCAAAACACTTCTGAAGGTGATTTGGATGTGACAGAACATTTTAAATTCACACTTGGAATCTGCAAGAGGCCTAAGCTATTTGGTTCTGTGTTGTAAAAAAAAACATAGAGTCTCTCTATGTAGACCAAACTGGCCTCTCATTTATAGAGATCCACATGCCTCAGCCACCAAAGTGGCAGGATCAAAGGAGTACACCACCGTGCCCAGTGTATACTAAGAACATTTAACTCAGGGTCTCAGATTCTTTTGAGACAGTGTCTCACTCACCCTGGTTGGCTTTGAACTCACAGAGATCTGCCTGCCTATCTCTCTGCCTTAGTACTGGGATTAAAGGTATGTGCTACCACACACCTCTGGATCTCTTTTCTCTTAGACAAAGGTATAGGCTGATTCCAGGAATGGGAAATGAAATCTAACCTATGAGAGGACCAATGTTCCCTAATGTTCTAAGATTCATCTCTGCTAGCTGCAATCTGGTAGAAGAGTATCAGTTATCAGGCATAGTGTGGTGCATGTGTATAAGCTCAGTCAGCACTTGAGAGGTGAAAGCAGGAGGGTTAGATCAGCTGTTAAAGGTCATTCCTGGCCACATGAGAGTTCAAGGAACCCTTGCCTCAAGAATAAGTAATGTCCAATTTCTAGAGAGTGAGGTGGGATGACAAAATTTTGTTTAATTTATGATTTGTTAAAAGTGTTGATTCTTAGGGCCAGAGAGAGGGGCAGTGGATGTTGTTCAGTTCCTAGCATCCACAACTTCCTAAGCAGCCAAGCTTCCTAATCTTCCTGTTTATACCTCAAGAGTACGGGTTTACAGGTATGCCTGCTTTATACAGTTCTGGGGATAGAATTCAGGGCTTTATGCATGCTAAACAAATAATCTACCAACTGAGTTACATTCACAGCTCTGAGCCCTTAAGTTGTTTTGAGACAGGACCTAACAGCACAGGCTGTTACATAGAGAAACCCTGTCTCAAAACAAACAGGGGGTTGGATAAATGGTTCAGTGGTTAAGGGTATTAGCTGCTCTTCTAGAGATCCTGAGTTCAATTCCCAGCAACCACATGATGGCTCATAACCATCTGTAATGAGATCTGGTGTCCTCTTCTGGCCAGCATGTAAAACACTGTTTACATAACAAATCTTTAAACAAACAAACAAAACAAAAAACCAACCAAAAAACAAAAATCAACCCTGACTCCGCAAAAGTTGTCCTTTAGTTGTCCTTTATCCTCTAACCTCCACATGTTCTCTGTGGTACGTGCAGGCCCCTCCACCCCACCCCCACCATACACATACTTCACACATTTTTGTAAGAGGAAAAGGAGACTATATATTTATATTTCTTTCATTTGCATTAAGAAAATATCTAAAGATTTACTAGGGAAAAAGACATAAATTAGGGTGATAGGGACAGTAAGTAATAGAATAAGAATTTTCTTTGCCATTTTTAGGTTTTTTTGTTTGTTTTTTGAGACAGGGTTTCTCTGTATTGCTTTGGAGGCTGTCCTGGGACTAGCTCTGTAGATCAGCCTGGCCTCAAACTCACAGAGATCCCCCTGCCTCTGCCTCCTGAGTGCTAGGATTAAAGGTGTGTGCCACCAACACCCTGATCCTTTTTTTTTTTTTTTTTTTTTTTTTTTTTTTTTTTTTTTTTTGAGATAGGGTTTCTCTGTGTAGCCCTTGATGTCCTGGAACTAACTGTCCCAACTGACAATGAGGGATGCAATTTGATATTATGTGTGACCCTTTTCCCTATCGTGCTGAACCTGGGATCTAAAAGAACTTGAGCTCTTCAGCTCTACCAACACCCCCACCCCAGTATTGAGCATCCACTTAGGCTTTTGTGGTTCTTTTCTTTTCATATTTTAATTTAAATATTTCATATTTAAATAGAATCTTGTTTAATGGTTTGTAAAATATTTTGTTTTCTTCCTCTGGTATTAGGGATTAGGCCTAGGACTTTGTTTGTATCAGACCAGTGTGCTACCATGGAGTTAAATCTCCAACTCTATATTTTGTATATTTTAAACACTTCTAGTTCAGGAACATAGACTAGAGACTGTTGCCCCTGGGAACACTACCAAAAGTCTACAAAAAATGGCAAACCTATGACCTCTGGGTCAAATCTACCCTTCAACCTGTTTTTCTAAAATTTTACTAAAACATAGTTATGTTCATTTATTCTCATGAAGTCTGAGACTTCTTGCTTGTTATTATAGCAGAATCAAAGTATGTTGCTATGTGTTATTAATACACAAAGTTCACTGACCCAGACACCCTTTTAAATATGTGTGTGTGTGTGTGTGTGTGTGTGTGTGTGTTGCATAGAAGCTTGGAAAATGTGTTGGATTATTTTGGAACAGGTGATATAGGCACTTGTACAACACAGTTTGTTATGTAGGTACTGGTATCTAAACTCTGATTTTCATAATTGCACAGAAAACACTCTTAGCCACTGAGACATCTCTCCAGTCTCTTGACACTTGTCCTAAATCACAAAAAGCACCCCATGCTGTCTAGAGAGATGGTAACAGGAACCTCCTTTTAGTTATATTGTGATGATAATACCACGAAGATTAATTCTGCTGCTGGAGGTGATGATTAGAATACCAGTAGCTAGAATGTAGAAAAGAAGTTAGGGAGGAGAAATAAAAGACAAACAGAAGGGTTGCTATGTGGATATCCAGGAACTGGGTGATACATAATCTACAGATGTATCTGTAGACAGGCTTGGTGGAGCATTGGCGAAAAGGAGGCAGGCCAACCTTGTCTACATGGTGAGTGAGACTCTCTCTCTCTCTCTCTCTCTCTCTCTCTCTCTCTCTCTCTCACACACACACACACACACACACACACACACACACACACACTGGATGGGAGACCAGGAAAGTGATGGGAGATGTCATTCTGTAAATATGTTTCTCTTATTAGTTAATGAATAAAGCACTGTTGGCCAATAGGAAAGCAAGATAGGCGGGACTAGGAGACTAAGTGGAGAGAAGAAGAAATAGGGAGGAGTTTTAAGATGTAGGACCAACAGGGTAGAATAGAACTCCAGGCCCTCTCTCCAGTAAGATAACACCACATGGGAATACTTAGATTAATAGAAATGGGCTAATATTTAAAACAGAGCTAGCCGATAAGAAACTAGTAACTGGCCAACAGCTTTGTATCTAATTCAGTGTCTCTGTGTGTTATTTGGGGCTGGTGTGGCTCTGGGACCAGGCAGGCTGTGTGTGTGTGTGTGTGTGTGTGTGTGTGTGTGTGTGTGTGTGTGTGTGTACACCAACTCTTAACAAAATGGCACCCAACATGGGACCATTGGATGTCATTCTGTAAATATGTTTATCGTACTGGTTAATGAATATAACACTGTTGGCCAATAGGAAAGCAAGATAGGCGGGACTAGGAGAGGAGGAGGATTCAAATGAGAGTTAGGAAGAGATTCAACATGGAGGACAAAGAGAGCAGAATGCCGGGCCCTCTCTCCCGTAAGCCAAGACCATGTGGAAACATTTAGATTAACAGAAATGGGTTAATATTTAAGACAGAGCTAGCCAGTAAGAAATGCTAGTACAGGCTAACAGCTTTATAGCTAATACAGCGTGTCTGTGTGTTATTTGGGGCTGGTGCGGCTGGCTGAGGGACCAGACCGGCAGGGAAAACCTACTCTTAACAGGAAAGAGAGAGAGACAGAGACAGAGAGAGACAGAGACAGAGAGAGAGAGGTTATACAGGTAGGTATAGATATAATACTCTAGATATATGCCTTAAGGGAAGCATTCTAACTCTTAGTAGGGATGAGTAAATTCTTGCTCTGCCTCCCACCTACCTGTTCTGCCAGCCAGGCAATATGCTTGACTTCCTTGCTGCCTCCTGCTGTACTGGTTGCACCAAGCATGGCATTGAGTTCAGCCAATACCTGTGGGAGGAGAGCCATTATGTTGGTGTGGATAGCTACGAACCAGGAGTGTGCTGTGGCTGTATCTTTGCAGCGTAGGATCAAGGTGTTCCTGCTATCAGGAGAATGTAGCTCTATCAATCTGTATGGAGAGAGAAAAGAGAAAAATGACATAGGCTCCAAGTCATCACACCACCAGAGTTAACATACTAAATCTAGTCTAAAATTGTGATTTTTCAAGTAAAAATACTTTAATTCCTCAGAGTCCAATCCCAGAGAAACCACAAATACATGGGACAATAATAATGGCTGGATTTGTTGTACTGTGCCTATGGGATAGTCACTAGTGGGACACTTCACTTTGCCTTAATTTCCATGTCAAAGAAACAGAACCAGTACCTGTCCATTGCAGGCAGGAACACCAACACCCATACATGAGCACACGTGCACGCACATGCACATACACATATATTTTGTGTCATATGTATACCATGTACTCTAGGCAGGCATCACACTTGCTATGTAGCTGAGGATAACCCTGAACTCACATTCCTCTGGTCTTCACCTCTCAAGTACTGGGATTACAGGTGAATTTTACCACACAAAGCTAAGAGAATTTTATATTTTAAAAATTACAAACAAATAAAAAACCAAAACAAAACAAATAACAAACCAGGCGGGTGGCACACGAATCCAAGCACTCAGGAGGCAAAGGTAGGTGAACTCTGTGAGTTCAAGGCCAGACTGGTCTATAGAGTGAGTGCCAGGACAGCCAGGGCTGTTACACAGAGAAACCCTGACTTGAAAAACAAAAACAAAAACAAATTTTAATATTTTTAAGATAATTAGGAGCTGGAGAGATGGCTCAGTGGTTACGGGGACTTGCTGCTTCCTTTTCCAGTGGACCCAGGTTTGAATCTCAGCATTCAAATTAGGTGGTTCGAATAACAATAATAACATAAACTGCTTATAACCTCAGGTAGAGAATAGCCTCTGTGGTCACCTATACTTATGTGAACAGACACACACAAAAACACATAATCTTTTAAAATTAGGTAATTCTGATATAAGCCATAAAAAGTAATGAACTGAAATGAATGTTATTTGAAATAAAGAGATATTAGCAGGATATTTCTTTTCTTTGTGAATATTATTCTTTATGAAAATTTGGAATTTTGTTTATTTACGTATTTGAGACCAAGCCTCACTATGTAGTCCTGGCTGGTCTGGAACTCACTGTATGGACTCAGTGGGCCCCAAGCTCCCAGAGGTGCACTTGCTCCTGCCTCTTGAGTGCTGCGATTAAAGACATGTGCTGCTGCTGTACTACTATTACTATTATACTTGGCTAAAGCTAACTTTAGATCAGCAGTTCCAAGGTTGGCCTCTAGCATTATTAGCAGTCATGCATTAGGCATCCCCACCCTACTCTTCTAGTTCTGCAGTGAGATCAGGTCAAACTCAGGTCATCAGAGTTGTGCAGCAAGTACGTTTACAAGCTCAGTCATCTTGCTAGTCTACTTTTACTGATTTTTGTTTTTACTTTTTCATCTTGTATTGAGTTTTTGGAGGGGGGGCTGTTGTTCAATTAGTGTGTGTGTGTGTGTGTGTGTGTGTGTGTGTTTGTGTGTGTGTGTGTGTGTGTATGTGTGTGCATTTGGATACATGTGCCACAGTGTTGAGTGTAGAGGTCAGAGGATAACTTGTGGTAAACATTTTTCTCCTTCTACCATGTGAGTCCCAGGGATCAAACAGAGGTTGTCAGGCTTGGTGATAGGCAGCCTACCTACTTTCTTACTATTTTGAGAGAAGGTCTCATTATGCTGCTGATTGGCCTCAAATTCATGACAATCCTAAGTGCTGGGATGACAGGTCTGGATGGAATGCCATGCCAGCTCCAAATACTTTGTTTTTTTATATGGCAAGTGTTTATTCTCAAATTCTGCTTAATCTATAGTTTCTTCTAAGATTTATTTTATTTATTTGTTTGTATTTATGGTAACATGTTGGTACCCACAGATGCCAGAAGAGGTCATCAGATGCCTTAGAACTAGAGTCACAGGTGTGCGCTGGGAATTGAACTTGGGTCCTCTGGGGGAACAGCAATCACTCTCTAACACTGAGCCACCCCTTAAGCCCCCAATCTATACTTCCTCAGACACACATCAATTGAGCCCCTGCTAAATGACAGATAATGTGCTAGTACTGCAGAAACACAGACCAAAAGGGGGAAAAAAAAATCCAGTTTCTACCCTAATTGGGCCTACAGTCTAACAGGGAAAACAGAAAATGAACAGTTGATAAAACACAGTTAATTATAGGTTCCAAAAGATGTCATAAAGGATAGTTGGTCCTGGCTATTAAGAAGACCATGCCTTAAAAGACACTTTTGGCTAGGCGGTAGTGGTACATGCCTTTACATTAATCCCAGTATTCTGAGAGATAGAGACAGGCAGGTATCTGTGAGTTCCAAGACAGCCAGGGCTACAGAGAAACCTTGTCTTGAAAAATGAAACAAGACCCAAAAATAAATACACACACACACACACACACACACACACACACACACACACACACACACACAAGACTTCTGTGGTAGTAAAGGCAAAGTAGGACTGCAATGGAAACCTTTATACTTCTGGGCACACTTACCAAATTATTTCTATGAGGGGAGATCATTTATAAACCTGGTACCTCCCCTAAGAAGACTTTTCTTTTTTTGGTTTTCCAAGATGGCTTCTCTGTGTAACAGCACTGGCTGTCCTGGTACTCTGTAATCTGTAGACCTGGCTTGCCTCAGACTTACAGAGATCCATCTGCCTCTGTTTCCCAACCGCTGGGATTAAAGGTATGTGCTACCACTGCCAGGCTTAAGAAGGCTTTTTAAAAAGCTAATTCTAGGGCTAGTGAGATGGCTTAGTGAGTAGTACATTTGTTACCAAGCCTAATGGCCTGACTTTGATCTGAAGATCCTACATGGTGGAAAGAGAGAAAAGACTTCTGTAAGTTGTCCTCTGACTTCTATACATACACTGTGGCATGCTTGAACTCACATAATAAATTAATTTAAAAAAAAATAAAGAATAATCCTATAAGCTCAGAGAGCTCACTACAACAAAATTTGGGAAGCTAGCAAACAGCCATTGGGCTTAGGAAAGTGACTCTGAGTTGGTTTTGACATATTGACACAAGCTAGGGTCATCTACTAAAGGGTAACCTCAACTGAGAAAACAGGCAAGTCTATGGGGCACTTTTTGATTGATAATTGATGTGGGAGAGTCCAGCCCACTGTGGGCACTGCCACATCTCAGGCAGGTGGTCCTGGGTTTTGTAATAAAGCTGGCTCAGCAAGCATAGGGAGCAGGCCAGGAGTGCAGATTCCTCCATGGCATCTGCAGCAGTTTCTGCCTTGAATTGCCCTGATTCACCTCAGTGATAGAGTATGGCTTGAGAGTTCTAAGATGACATAAACCCTTTCCTCCCAAGTTGCTTTTGACCATAGTTTTTCATCACAGTAATAGAAACCCTAACTAAAATGAGTGGGAAAAGCAAAATTGCAGCCACATAATTCCTAAGTGGGTAGGGAATTGGTGGCAAGGTTATTTCTGAAAGTGAGACTAAAGTATGCACTACAAAGAGGCAGGGGGGACTGTAGTCTTGGCTACTTACTGAGTTATATCTCAAAAGATAAGAACAGGAAGTGGGAACATGCCTCAGTTGAGAATTTGAACCTAAAGTTCAATTCCTAACACTGCAAAGACAAGCAAAGCCAAAACCAAAAAGGCCAAACAAACAAAATCCAAACAAAATGCATCTAGCTGAGCATCATGGCTCCTGTGCTCAGGTAGTTAAGGCAAAATTGCAAGAAATTTGAGGCCAGCCTGGGCAATATAATAAATTCTAGGACAGTCTAAGTTACACCATGAAACTGTTATTAACAAACAAACAAACAGAATTCTCCATACTCAGTGGTCAGTAACTGCCATGACCTTATCCTAGCAAAAGAGTCAGAGCCATTATCATCCCCATCAAACTGTCTGGGAGAAGCCAATTCTTGGTTCAGACTATATGTCTTTACACTGACCATTTTCTAGAAGGACTTACTTATTTCCACCCCATTGCTCTGTGACCAAGGACAGCATAACATTCTTTAAACACATACTAAAATTTGCTGGCAAGAACCAGACAAGAAATTTCCTTCACTCCTCCTACTGACCTACTTAGCACTAAAGATAGAAATCAGTTCATCCTTCTTTAGGCACAAAACAATTACTTAATGGGGGAAAAAAACCAAAAATACCCTTTACACGGTATATAGTCCTGAGACAGTCTCTCAGATAGGTCATGGAGTCCTTAGCCACTGAGTAGCCTATTAACACAGAATAGCTTCTAAAAATCCTGATATTAGACCCTAATTATTAATAGCTGGAAGAATGAAAATAAATCTGCTATAAAGTAAAACCAAGCCTGATTAATCAGGAGTAGACACTTGGACAAGAGAGCTTGAATGACGAAATGGGCAAGAAGTTGTCTTGTAGGTGGGATCACCAACATTCATGAAAAGCGAAATCTTGTAGATTCTTGGAAAGGAGTTAATCAAGACAACAATAAACTCCCAAGCAGAACTGAGTCTAGGACCCAGAAGAGTCTGACTTGGAGCAGTCCTCAAAACTAACATAGGCAACATAATAATGCTTGATGAGTTGTTTTAAAGGGATGACTGAAATGAAAGCTCTGCTAATAGCACACATGGAGGCAGTCTGCCAGTAACTGAGCCTATAGGACGGGGGCGCAGCAACAATGTTAGAGGTTTTGGCCTGTACTCAAACCACTGAGGATTTCCGGGGAAACTTAATTACAATTTGAACAGATAAGTCAAATCAATATTTAGATAGAAGCATGGAATTTTAAGTTCAGCCTATATTACTTTATCTACTTGGTTATGTCTTTGATATAACCTATGAGTTTTTAGTAATAATCTTGTGATTTTTATAGCACAAACTTCACATGTACCTTTTACTAAAAAATAGAATGAAGATGTGAAACTGTGAGTGAATGCAAAAACCAGATTAAAATTGTTATTCAGCCAGGCAGTTGTGATGCATGCCTTTACTCCCAGCACTTGGAAGACAGAGGCTGGTATAACTCTGTGAGTTCAAGGCCAGTCTGGTTTACTGAGTGAGTACTAGGACAGGGCTGCTATACTGAGAAACTCTGTTTTTTGTTTTTGTTTGTTTGTTTGTTTGTTTTTAGGTTTTTGAGACAGGGTTTCTCTGTGGCTTTGGAGGCTGGCCTGGAACTAGCTCTGTAAATCAGAGATACCCCTGCCTCTGCCTCCCGAATGCTGGGACTAAAGGCGTGCCACCACCGCCCAGTGAGAAATCCTGTCTTTAAAAAAAAAAAAAAAAAAAAAAAAAAAAACCACCACCACCAGGGCTGGAGAGATGGTTCAGAGGTTAAGAGCACTGCCTGCTCTTCCAGAGGTCCTGAATTCAATTCCCAGCAACCACAATTCCCAGCAACTACAATGAGATCTGGTATCCTCTTCTGGCATGCAGGCACTATATACATCATAAATAAATACATCTTAAAAAACAAAAACAAAACAAAACACCACCACCAACAGCAAAATTCTACATTCCTACGGACACTATGCTACCTGCTAAGGAACAGGCTCATGTTCTCTCATGGACTTCACCATTAATTCATTAGTTTTCAAGTTTCACAACACAACACATAATTATCAGAAGCATCTAGTGAGGCAGTGGAAACTCAGGTGGGCAAAGGCAGTAACATTCATTTACTCACTTCCCTTTTGGTTTTAGTGAAACCTTTGCATAGAAATGAAAGATGAACTATAATGAGATTCTACCACATACCCGTCAGAATAGTTAATGCCAACAATGCTGGCAAGAACATGGAGCAATGGAAATTCTCACACTGTTAGCTGTTGTTGGTGTTAGCATAAAATGGCAGGTCACTTTTGAAAGAATGCCTGCCTGGAAATTTCTTTTTTCTTTCTTAGATTTCTTTTATGTGTTCAATGTGTTAATGTTTTGCCTCCATAGATGAATGTGTACCAGGTGTGTGCCTGGTGTCCATGGAGGTCAGGAGTCTAATCACTTGGGACTGGAGTTACAGATTGCTGTGAGCCACATGGTGCTGGAATGAACAGTCCACTGGAAGAGCAGCCTAACCGCTGGGCCATTTATCTAGCCCTGGGAGTTCCTTTTAAACAAAACACACACCTAACATCTGTTTGTTTGCTGAGGAAAGGTCTTGCTATGTAGCATGACTGGTATGAAACTCACAGAAAGCCTGCCTGCCTGTGCTTCTAGAGGGCTGAATTAGTGTTGGAATTAAAGGCTTGCACCACCATTCCCTGCCACATCTACCACTTGACATGGCAACTCACTCTACTCACTAAGTTCACCAAAGCAAAACAAAATGGTGTGGCCAAAAAAAGATTTACAAAATGGGCATGACAACCAACTCCAAACTAAAAATTGCTCAGGTGACTATCAAGAAGGCACAGTTAGGATAGGAGAGATGGCTCATCAGTTAAGAGCACCAGCTGCTTTTCCAGAGGACCTGGATTTGATTTCCTACACCCACATAGTTGTTCACAACCATCTGTTACATTGGCCTCTCTTCTGGCCTCTGTGGGGCACAGGCATACATGTAGGTAAAATACTCATAAAATAATTTTTAGAACCCTACAGATAAATAAATGGACATCTTATCTTCCTCTAGCACACTCTATCTTATTCTTACTGATGTTGGAGCTCACTGACTAGCTAGGCTGGCTGGCCAGCAAGACCCTAGGATCTTTCTGTCTCTAAGCATGGGATTCCAGGTCATACCACACACTTTTAAGAATGTAACTCTGCCAATTTTATAACCATTTTCTTATTTAACCCTCATAGAATTTTCATTTTGTTTGAAAGGAAACTGAAGTGTAAAGAAAACAAATAGCTTGGCCAAAATGCTACAGCCCACATGTTTGGCTCTGTCTTCTAGGTCTTACAACTCAAGTGTGCTTAGGTCATGATTTTGTATGTTTTTTTGTTTTTTTTCCTGCTAAGACAAACAGGACATGTTCACATCCTGGAAATAAACAAAGTTAGATGTGATCCCTACCAGCTACTTGTAAGTCTGCTGCTTGCTTTTCTCTAGAAAATACTGTAATGCAAGTTAAAGCATCACCCTCATAGAATAACCATCAGTTTCTTTTCATTTGTATCTTATAAAAAGATAGCCATTTTCAAATGTGGTATTTCAGGTAAGAAAAATTCCTTTTCAGCAGTTAAACTGAATCTTTACACTAGCCTCAGCCACCTGAGCCCCAGTCTTGTACAGCATGTCATGGCTAAATATGAGGATCATCTGAATGGAATGAAGGATGTGGTACATACCCCAATATTATGCAGTGTTTTGACTTTTGATAAGATGAAAGCACTAGGTTTCACCACAGCATCTTTGTATGTGTACCCGCATACTTTTTCTCAATTGTTCTCTTCTCCAGCTGGTTCCCCTTCTGCCCTCACTGAGTTCTCCTTTCTCCCCCACCACCCCCAAGACTGTGGAACTTCTTTATTTACTCTGGGAGGCACCACACAGTTCCCCAAAGGCAACAAAGCCCCTTTGCTGTGTGCACCACTGTTTAAACTGCTGCTATAGGCAGCAATAGTTCTTGGGTTGGGTGCCAGAGGCTTCCATTCTGCTTTCCTTTTACATGTAATCCATTACTATCTTGTATCTCCCTTATGATTGCTTTCTCCCTCTCATAATCCCTGTCCTAGTTTCTTGAGCTGCAAACATACATACAGATAGTCTACTACAATTTTAGCAGTTTCATATTGCTCTCTACACTTGGTTCTGAGGATCTCTTTCAAACCTGACAGTTATGAAATGCTTCTAGTATATGGGGCTAGAAAGAGATTGCTTAGGAGTTAAGAGCACTTGTTGCTTTTGCAGAAGACTGAGGCTCATGACGGTGGTGGTGCATGCTGCCTTTAATCCCAGAACTCAGGAGGCAGAGGCAGGTTCATCTCTGAGTCTGAGGCCAGCCTTGTCTAAAGAATGAGTTCTAGAATTACACTGGGAAAGCCTGTCTCAAAAACCTCAACCAACCAACCAACCAAACAAACAAACAAACAAAAAAGAAGACCAGGCTCAATTCCCATCACCCACATGGTTTACAAATGTCTGTAACTCCAGTTCAGGGAGATCTGATTTCTATGGCAATAAATATTTATGTGGTACACAGACATACATGTAGGCAAAATACTCACACACATAAAATAAAGACATCTTTTAAAATGTTGCAGCATATGACTGAACCAAGAATGCAGCCCCCAGTTTTAAGGAAAGTCACGGTGACTATGTCTAACCTCGTAATATAGTAAAATCATAATCACCTTCATCCTTTTTTCTTTCCCTAGCCCCACAACCCCTCTTCTCCAGAAATTTTACATGCTTTGCTCTTTTCTCCAGCTTCTAGTTGCATCAGCCACACCATAGGAATGTATTCTAGAAGGGATTTATCATGAAAGGGTTTTAACATTTCTGCCCTCCTTGGTGTTGTGTGTACTAAATCAATTAAGGCTTTTTGCTTTGTGATTTTTCTGTAACTGGTTTACAACCTAGACTAATCTGGAACTTTAAATTCACAGTGATCCGCCTTCCTCAGTTTCCCAAGAGCCGGGATTAAAGGTGAGAGCTACCACAACTGTCTCAGTTATGCTTCCTTTATGCTACAATTTCTTGGGATGAAGATATGGATCAAGGTTAAAAGCACCTGATGTTCTGGCAAAGCACCTGAGTTTGTCACCTCAGTACCCATGCTGGGCAACTTACTACTGCTTCTAAATCCAGTTTTGACCTCTGCAGGCATCCACACACAGTATTCACATAAACAAGAAAATTTTATAGACTTAAAAATAAGCTACAATTTTTTTTTTTTTGAGATACTACATAAAACACCCTAAGTATAAATCACACGAAAGCCTTACATGTTCAAGAAGGTCATTCTTGGCTGGTCTGGAATTCACTATATAGACCAGTTTTATCTTGAATTCAGAGGTCTGCCTGCTTCTTCCTCCCTAGTACTGGAATTTAAGACAAGTGCTACTATGCCTGATGGACAAGCCTGGCTTCAGTTTCTTGCTGTGTTCCATGTTCTTTTACCCTACTCTGTTTAGGCAGATGGGTGTATTCAGATCAGAGACCACAAGAATGAAAGCATACTGGGCCTATCTTTAGGTCTCTGGATGAGGGTTTTTTGGTTTTGTTTTGTTTTTTGTTTGTTTGTTTGTTTGTTTTAAGTCACCCCCACTCTGCCAAATCCCTGGCCTAACAGAGTCTAACAGTACTTTTTCACAAAGTCACTGAAATTAAAATCATTATAAAACACAAGAAGGAAAATTATAAATTATTCATTCCACTGCTTGCATTTCATAGAAGACATGGGTCTGTGAAGCCAACTTGTCACATTGCCAGTTGATGTCCCGGATCTACAATGTGGCCTCGGAACTATAATGTTACTCACAATTAAGAAATTTCCTTATAGACGGATAGTGATGGCACGTGCCTTTAATCCCAGCATCCAGAGGTAGAGGCAGGTGGATCTCTGCAAGTTCAAGGCCAGCCTGGTCTACAAAGTGAGTTCCAGGACAGCTGGGGTTTTTATAGAGAAACCCTGTCTCAAAAAACTAAAAAGAAATAAATATCCTATAAAAAGACATGGGAGGCTGGGTAAGAGGATGGTGGGTTTGAGGCCATTCAGGGTTCCACATTAAAGACAGATCTCTAATGTCAGAATATCATTTTTCTCCTTAATAATTTACTCGGCAGGAGGCACTGATTCTGTGTTGTGTCCTTGAGTTTGTAAGGCTGAGCATGTGATGCTCTCAACAGTCATGCTTACCTGTTCTCCAGATCTGGCATGCTTAGGTTTCTAGCAGCAAAGCACATTTTGAGAGGGATGACCTTCCTGTCCTTGGTGCTGTTCTGATGTTTTGGAGAACCAGAGTCTTCACTGCCACTGAAGTTTGGTGACTGGGGAGCAGCACCTTCCCACGGCAGATCTGATACTAAAGATGGCTTCTTGATATATGGTGTTACTTCTCGGATGAACTTGACTATAAAAAACACAATACAAAATAAAAAGAGCAAAGGAGGTTAGTATTTTTGTTTCTGATCAAATGAAAACTGAAATATTCACATACATGTAACATCTAGAGCAAAGTAAAAATCAAAATTCAAATGCTATTAATGTCCTTGAGCTTTATTCAACATTTTCTGAACTCACCTTAATGTTTCCACCCACTGAAATACACACAACAATCTTAATCTCTTTTGTACATGAGAGCCTTTCAAATGTCAGAAAAATGTATCTTTCTTCCCTCTATACTAAAGCAAGTATTTCAGCCCAATTGATAAAAGGGCAAATAAGGCTTAGACCCTAACCTATAGGAATGCTTCACCTGGATGGGGTGGAGTAAGACACACAAACATTATTCTGTGTTTAAAAAAATGTGTCAAAGTATATACAAGTACAAAGTCAATTCAACTGAAACCCCTTGCCTTTTCAAAATAGTTTATTCCCATTAAATCCTCTTTTGAATACATAATATAGGTTGAATATCCCTTATCTGATATGCTTGCCAGCAGAAGCCTTACAAATTTTGAAGTATTCATATATACCTGGAGGTAAAAAATATTTGTATATACATGGGAAGATGAACAGGAAATTGGCTTTCATATAAACAGTATAAATATGCTTGAAGGCAACTTAGGCAAGAGCATCTTCATTTAGACTGTAGTATTAGGTCAGGTATGGAATTTTCCACTAGTATCTTGGATGTATTTTAAAAGCTTCAGGTTTTGGGTTTTTGAATGAGATATCACTGATACATATTCACATAAAACAAAACCCAAAGATTTTATAATAATGATCGATTTCCATCTCTAAAGGTAACTATCGTGTGATCATGTAGAGGTGCTACATATGCTAAGCACAGTGTAAGAACAGACATATCTGTCTGTCTGTGTATCCATCAATTTTGCTTGATGGTAGTATAGTATGCTTACTATTTGCTACTTGTATTTTTATTTAGTAATGTTGACAGCAGTCAGTAGGTCATTATCGCCCCCCCCAATGCCATCCAATAATGGTGTTTTACGAACACCCAACACACTGGAAAGGCCTTTGGGAAGGGACTTGCTGGCTCGGTCCTCGCTACTTCAAAGCTCTGTGGTTACCTGCTGCTTCTAAGGTCCTCACCTAAACAATCAGAGTGATTCTAAATAAGTGTAAGCTCTGGCATACAGTGAGTAATCAATAAATAGTGGGTGCCTTTCTTTTGCCTTCCTGACTCCTGACTTAGGAAGCTGCAGAAATTTTAAAAATTAACCCTGGTCAGTAGAAGAGATGAAGCCATTGTCTTAAATTATTAAATTAATCTCAGCACTTGGGAAGTAGAGATAGGTGGATCTCTGTGAGTTCATGGCCAGCTGGGTCTGTGTAGAAAGTTCCAAGCCAGCCAAGGCTACAAAATGAGACCCTGACTCAAACTAACAAATGAAACAGACAAACAAAAAACACCATACCAATATCTGCTGAAATCATACTAGGAAACAATTCTAATGTTGCTATTTAAACATAGTACAGATACTTGCATATGCACACATCTTTTTCTTGCATGTTTTTTTTTTTTTTAAAATGTGTCTCTGGGTGGAGAAAGTAAAAGCTTGCTGCCTTGGGTCACCAAGGAGATTTTTCATCCTGGAAGAATGAGCAGGATTGTAGCCAGTATATCCCTTGAGCAGCTGACTCAGGCATTTCAGCACACACTTGAGCTTTGTGCTTTCAGGAAAGCATTAGATCACGAGAACTTGGCAGAAATTCCTAAGGTTTTCAATCAATGCCAATGGCAGAGACATGCTTTTTGAACACTTACAGCGTGCCATGCCAGCAACCAGGCTGCCAACCGGGGGAAACAAAGCCATTCTAAATGAGTACCCTTGAAAAGTACAATGATTAGAAGATTCTTAATGATCTACTCAGAACTAGCATCTCTAATATGATTAGTACAAACATGCTAAAACAAAAGCAAAGCAGACACACACCCAACCTAAGGGCCGCTATATTAAAAGAGCAATGACTATGGGCTCAGAGCAGCCCACTGGTAGACTGCTTTCCTAACATGCACTGAGCCCCTGGTTTGGCAATCAGCACCTCACAAACCAAGCATGGTGGTTTAAGCCTGAAATCCCAGTACTCAAGTAGTGCAAAGAGGAGAATAAAAAGTTCATGGGAATCAGTCTACCACAGGACCTGGCAATCCCCCTCTTAGGCATATACCCAAATGGTCCACATCCATGCAACAAAGACATGTGTTCAACTATGTTCGTAGCAGCATTATTTGTAATAGCAAGAACCTGGAAGCAACCTAGATGCCCCTCAACTGAATGGATAAAGAAGATGTGGCACATTTACACAATGGAATACTACTCTGTGGGAAAAAACGGAATCTTGAAATTTGCAGGAAAATGGATGGAACTTGAAACCATCCTGAATGAGGTACCCCAGTCACAAAAAGAGGAACATGGTATGTACTCACTCATATATGGACTTTAGACATAGTGCAAAGGATCACCAGTCTACACTTCACACTGCCAGAAAAACTAGGATGCAAGGAGGATTCTAAGAGATTTATATAAAGTCCCTCACAGAAGGGGAAAGGGACAAGATCTCCTGAGCATATTGGGGGGGGCAGTGAGTGGAGAGGGAGCTAGGAGAAAGAGAAGGGGAGGAGAGGAAAGCACGTGGGACTAGGAAGGTTGAACAAGGAGAGGAATAGACGAGAAAAAGGAGAGAAAGAAATAGAGAGAGAGCCTAAATGAGGAAGCCATTGTAGGTTTGAAGAGAAAACTGAATCTAGAGAAATGTCCAGACACCTACAAGACTGACTCCAACTATCAGTTTGAGCAACAGTGGAAAGGCTACCATAAATGCCCTTCCCTGATAATGAGAACAATGACTAACTTATCCACCATCATGGAGCCCTCATCTAGTAGCTGATGGAAACAGAAGCAGACACCCACAGCTAAACACTGAGCCGAACAGGAATCCAGATGCAGAGAGGAAGGACAAGACCAAGCTACAGAAACACATAGAGACAGCTGACCTGAACAAGGAGGAGCTAATGGGTCACCAGATTGATAGCTGGTAATCCAGCATTGGATTGACTCAGACCCCCTGAACGTGGGTCTCAGTTAGGACTGAGCAGTCTAAGGGACCTCAGACAGTGGGATCAGAATGTATCCTTGGTGCACAAAAGGATTTTGGGAGCACATTCCCCATGGAGGGATACTCCCTTAACTAACCTAGAGGCAGGAGAGAAGGCCTAGTCCCTACTCCAAATGACTAGACAGATTTAGATGACCCCTCCTGGAGGGCATCACCCTACATGTAGAGTGGGGGGTGGGTGGCAGGAGGCATGGGAGGATGGGCGAGAGGGAGGGCGAGAGGGAGGGAGGGAGGGAGAGGGAACTGGGATCGATATGTAAAATAAAAATAATTTTAAAAGTTCATGGTCATCTTGGCTGGATACTAAGTTCAAGGCTTGCCTGTGCTACATGAAACCTTTGCAAAAAGAAACAAGAAAAAGAAAAGTGTTAAATTTCACTTGAGATTATGGTATTGCTATCTGTACATCCAGCTAATTAGCCATCCATAATGTGTAAAGCCTATAAATTAATATTTTTGTCATATGCTTCCAGGCTGTCACAGAACCAACCTGGACAATGACCTGAAAAGAGACACCTTTACAACCAACCCACTGGCTTTCAGTTTTTCCCCTCATAGTTAAAGATCACCCTCAAAATAGACTCACCACTGGGGAGGTAGAGGCAGGTAGATCTCTGAATTTAAGGCCAGCCTGGTCTACAGAGCAAGTCTCATGACTGCCAGGAAGTGGGGTGGGGTGGAGGGATTATTATCTACTAAATAACCACACTTCTTAAAATAACCACACACCAATGTTTGTCAACTAAACTCTAAACTCTCAGAGGCTAGAGCTAATTTTCTGTCTTACCTGAATGGATCACTCTTATTTAAAATGAAAGGAAGTGCCTAGGTGATAGTAGTAGAGTTCTTGCCTAGGACTTGAAGCTTTAGGTTCCATCCAAAACAAAAAGATTCAAAGAAAAAACAAAAGTAAAAGAGCTCCTATCCATTCTGAGAAGTATCAGTCTAACCCCATCTCCTTTCCCTTTTTCTGTTTTTTTGAGACAGGGCTTCCCTGGGACTAGCTCTGTAGTACAAGCTGACCTCTAATTCACATAGATCCACCTGCCTCTGCCTCCTAGTGCTGTGACTAAAAGTGTGCTCCACCACCGCCCAGTCCCTTCTTCTTTTTCAAATAACAAAAACACGGCTGGTATGAGATAGTTCACCTGGAAAAGGTGCTTGCTGCCAAGCCTGAGGATCTCAGTCCCAGAGACCCACAGAGAGGAGAGAAAAGACTCTAGTAAGTTGTCCTCTGACCCCTGCAAGCACATACACAAAGTAAGTAATTGTAATTAACAAACACTGTCTATTTTGTACATGTATCTATAAATTAAAATATTATAGTGCTTTTATATATATATATGTTGATTTTAAATATATAATTCTGCGTATTTTAAATATAATGCCTGTATTATGTATATTTAAAAATAAGGTCATCAGTTAAATAGCAAGTTAAGACTGCCTCAAAAGGGAAAGAGAGGAGAAAGGAGGAGGAACGGAGAAAAGAATGTTTCTATAGTTTTAAAATTTTGTTTGTTTTGTTTTTCAAGAAAGGATTTTTCTGTGTAACCCTAACCCTGACTATCCTGGAACTCATTCTGTAGACAGAAATATGCCTGCCTCTGCCTCCTGAGTTCTGGGATTAAAGGTACACGCCACCACTACCCAGCTAAAATTTTATTTATTCGTGTGTACCTACTTGGCCTATATATGCACACTAACATGTAATACCCACAGAGGCCAGAGGGCCTCAGATTCCCTAAACCTGGAGCTATATGTGACTATGAGCAAATGAAGTGATACTGGGAACTAAACTCAGGTTCTCTGCAAGGGCAGCCTGTGGCA